GTTGATATCAAGAACTCATATCCTGAGAATTAATAAAAGTCAAAAGGGCTTGCCATAAATACACATACTTCTTGATATCTGTAACTTAATTCTTACATGTTAAAATTACATTTTCACTAGTAAAAATTGTTATTTAAGATATCATGAATTCCTTTTTGGATATGTGCATAGTAATGAATTCCTTTTTGGATATGTGCATAATTTAATGACGACTGCTTATAAATATTCAAATAAAAGCGTGACGTTTTTACGTGCTGGAGAACTGGGATGACCTTGTGAACAAACTGGCAATGGCAGAGGAGGTTTTGAGGCAAATTGAAAGACAATGTTATGCCATTGAAAGGGCGTACCACAATGGCATTTGTGGTCAACGACATCTACATGCCATAGAGGCATGTCTCAGAAATCTATCAAGAGTTGCCAGTCTGTTAAGAACAGAGACAGCTAATGAACTTAAAGACTCGCTCATCGACCTAAGGAGGAATTTGCTGGCGCAAAATGTAGAGCAAGACCAGACCTACTCTGCTGGGCGTGTATATTCAGGTGAGTAAAAGTGTTGTTCACTTCTCTCTAGTTATTAAAATGTGCGATCTGTTAATTGAGAACATTTACATGGAGCCCGAACCTAACCCGCTAAATTGCACGTTAAGCGTTTTATTCACATAGAAAGAAAACGCCTAATTAATGGACTAAGACAGCGATAAAGGCCGAATACAATTTATCATTAAATTGTACTAAATACAGGAAAGCAGGTAGGCCCAGAATATGAACAGAAAGCGCAGATTGGATGTTAGGCTGAAGTCTTTTCCTCCCAGAAAACGCGGCTGAATGAAGACGGTGATAAAAAAGACCAAATATGCTATAGAAATCTGTAAGAGCCAGGTATAGTTCTATTATTTTGTACACATTTTTTGTGTTAATGGCGGCACCTGATGGTGGTATAATATTTAGTTGTTAAACAGTACCATATTTGGTATTTTTATATTACCGTCTTATTTCATTAGCCTGCCTTAAGCGTTTTCTATAACTGTTTTCTATGGGGGAGAAAAAGCTTAACGTGCATTGCAAATTGTTGACAGAGAACATCTAACGACATAAGGCACATCCACAATAAATGATAATAATAATAAACATAAATAATAATTACACTCACAACAATAATAGCAAGGGAATGAAAAAAAAACACAAGGAGAGAGATGACTTCATTTTTTTTTTTAAATACTTGAAGCTCTGAAACATTTTAACAAACTTACAAATAAATAGGCTATATTACTATATTATATTTTGCCATTTGCTATTAAATTCATTATGGTGTTTTCAGTTATTTATTTATTTATTTTTTAACCTGATCTCTGAGCACTATTACATTGTAGACATTTTTAACAATGCGTATAACTAGGGTTGCAAAATGGCGGGAAAGTTCCAAACACTTTCCATGGGAAGTACTGGGGAGTTTTGGAAATATCTCCAGTTGGAAACTAAACGGGAATTAAAAGGAATTAATTGGATAATTTATTCAAATAGTATCGTACACAAACATAGATAAAAACATTTTGTTTGGTTATAAGCTGACATGCATGGAAAAAAAGAAGACATTTTTGACTTTCATGACATGGAGGATGCACAGTGTGTGCAGGGCGTGTGGCCTCAATAGCTCTGCAGTAAGTAGTGTGTTATGTTCATGCTGCACAAATTTTTTACAACTACAATGAAGTGTACTTACAGGCTAACCTACAAATTTGCAAATTTCCAGTTTCACCCATCGCTAATCCATTCATTGACAGTAGTGTCTGTTAATTGTTGTTCAATTGTTCTTTGTTTCCTTGTGTCCTCTAGGTATATGTGGAAGACCTTCCATTAATGTTTCAAAGCAGCAAATAGAGTTTCTAATGAAACAAGGACACACCGTTAAGCAGATGGCCAAGATTCTGGGTTGCTCATCTTCATTTATTTATAGGAAAACTAAACTGCTCGGAATTCCTATACGAAAATTGCAAACACAAGTGACTGAGGAAGAACTCACACAGCATGTCAGAAGACTTCACAGTCTCTATCCCAACACAGGAAGTGAGGTGTGTTAGGCAAAGGAAAGTCTAATTCATTATTCTGCATCCATACTGTCAAAATAATGTTTTTAATATTATTTCTTAGATCATGAGGGGACTGCTACGTGCAGAAGGGCTGTTTGTCCAGCGACGTAGGGTCCGAGAAACCCTCACCCAAATCGATCCAACTGCAGCTGCACGCAGATGGAGTAGTGCCATCGCCAGAAGAGTCTACCATGTTCCTCATCCAAACAGTTTATGGCACATAGACGGAAATATGCGTTTGATTAGGTAATACACTATTCATCCCCACCACAATAGAGTGCGGGAACTATGATGTCAGAACCAGAAATTGTAATTTGCCTCGGGTTCCTTCGAGATTTTCCTATTGGGCTTTATAATGGGGTTTTTCAATTTATGAATAAAATAAAGCTTGTGGTAAACATAACTTGAAGATACTGTTACGTTTTGTTCTACAATGTAAACTGCACACACTCGCAGCCCAAATGTTCTTAGTTACTTAATAAAAACATAAGTTTTCAAAAATGAACATAACTGCTTCAAAATTTGTATTTTGGGTATGGATGTGTAATTTACGTTGTATAAAAAAAAAAGTAAAAGTATCCTCAAGTTATGTTTACCACAGGCAAAATTTTACTCATAAATTGAAAAACCCCATTATCAAACCCCATAGGGAAATCTCAAAGGAACCCCCTGTGAATTATTCTTCCGGGTTCTGACGTCATAGTTACATTTAAATTCCTTTAAATTAAATTATGCATTTAGCAGACGCTTTTATCCAAAGCGACTTGCAGTGCATTCAGGCTATACATTTTTTACCAGTGTGTGTGTTCCCTGGGATTTGAACCCACGACCTTTTGCACTGCTAATGCATATGGTCCATCCACGGCTGGTTCAAAGCATGTTAAAATCTGCAGTTTTTGCAAAAAGTGCAAACTTCCGGTTTGCAAGAGACACTGATTCACTATCTGTTGCATGTGCAGCAATGCATTAAATTATTACTGTTTGTAAGTAAATAGTTATAATTATATTTGTTATTTAGATTTTTCCCCCCTCTTTTTCTTCAGTTTACTGTTTGATAATTATTGTTTTCTTCTTCTTTTAGCCTAACTGCTTAATTTGAGTTTCTTTAATCACTTTAATTTGAGTGAGAATTCTGTTCCGGAAAATGTCAGAATTTTGATTTTTTTTTTTTGCGTTCCAGTAATTGTTTTTAAGGATCCGGCATTAGATCGTGACAGTGCCTGCGTGCATATGAGAGCGAGCGCAGGTTTATGTATTTGGAGGTTATGTATTGGTCCTCAGCATATTTTTGACCATGACCAGTCAGCTTTCTTGAGTTCAAACTCGCTCTCCTTGATTGGTGCTTACTGCTTATTGTTTTTTTGAGCAGCAGAAAGTTTGGAGAGAGTGTAATAATACCAGAAATAATACCAAATAAAGTGAAATATTATAATGTATAAACATTATAAACATAGCTATACGTTAGAATAGCTCACTCCAAAACAAAACATATAAATGTAACAGTATTCAGAACAGAACAAGAATGAAATGAAAATATTATAAACCTAAAGAAACCAAAACAAAGCGAAACTATAAGTACCAGGCGTTAATTGGGCTCACGTACCTCTCATTCGGCACAAATCCTAATGTTTCCATATTCGTGATGTATTTGAATGAAACCATTATTTATAATGTAGAGGCTTTGTACTTCACGCACGTTCGTATATCGACAGAATATCCTCTTCACATGAGCAAAAATGTGCTTGGCATACAAAGTGGACCAGTAATACCAAGGACTATTTAAATTGACCAGTGTAACCTTTTATATTTTTGGTTGACTATTTTATTTTGATAATGAACAGACTGCGATGTCAAGTTTGAGTTGCGAATATGTGGTGCGTGCGTGTGCGTGTGTGCGTGAGCGCGCGAAGCGCCGGCGCAATCGAACAGCTGAAACATAGAATACATTCTTTTTGGTCATACAGATAAGAGTAAGACATAGCCTAATTCAAAAGCACAAAGTGTTTACTTTTATTTTTGCACACTCAAAATAATAACAGAACATTTGTGATTTTGTAAAATAAAGCAAGGATGCACGTTTAATTAAAACTGTTACTTATTTAAATGTTGTTGTTTTGAGCTGTGCTGATATGTTGTTTAAATTCCTATTAAAATTGCATTTCTGGAAAACCATTTCAGCCCAACTGCTTTTATCGGATTTTGCGTGGTTTAGTTCACTTTCTCACACTATGTAAAATGTGAACATGTCAGACATTGTTATATAAAACATGCTGAAAGTCACTGCAGAAACAAGGTTGTGTTGTTGCAAAGTGCAGGTCAAGCAGAAAAGTACAATAGCCTGTATTGCAAGAATAGGTGAATTGTGGGGGGGGGGAAAGTATATTGTGATTGTCAAAACATTTGGTAACTAAACAGAATTTTATTAAGTTGACAACATTTGACAATGTTTACATGGCTACTGTTTTTATAACACAAATTTTACAATTTCAATTCATAAGCTCGATTGATTCAATTCCGTTCTTAAATATCAATATCAATTCATTTGGATAATTATTAGGTAATTATATGTACATTTTTATCAAGAAAAAAAAAATCTCTCAACTAATGCTGTAAACATACAGGGAGCCCTGTCCGCTGATATTATTATTGAAGGTTAAAATTCACAATTCAAATGAATATAATGCAGGTTTTTATAATAATGATAAGAGTAAAAATATAAATATGTAATAATATATTTAACAAAATACTCCTCTCTATATTTAATTTTTGGCTGGTCTAAACCAGACACACAGGTAGCAGCACAAAAATACACTGTAACACAACAAATATTGTGTAATAATTGTTTTCGACAAAATCCCTGAAAATATCAAGAAATCATTTTTGGTCAAAATCACACTCCGCTAATCTACAACACAAGTACTTAATCATTATCTATTGCTACGACCCAGGATCTGCCCACATTTTAATTTATGTTTAGGAGCTACTAGTCCTTTTTAACATATTATACATGCATTTTTATTTTTTTGCTTAATTAACCGTGTGTTGTTTCTATGCTTTATTTTATGCAAGGTGGGGCTTTGTTGTACATGGAGCCATCGATGGGAAATCTCGCCTTATAACCTACCTGAGCTGCAACACAAATAACCGTGCCTCCGCTGTGCTGACCCAGTTTGTGAAGGCAACATGTCTTTATGGGCTTCCTTCGCGAGTGCGATCTGACCATGGGGGGGAAAATTCACAAATTGCCCTCTTCATGAATCTCGTTCAAGGGGTGGAACGGAGGAGTCACATAACAGGAGAATCTGTTCACAATCAGCGCATAGAGCGCCTTTGGAGAGATGTTTTCCTCCATGTGCTTCAGTACTTCTACAATTTGTTCCATAGTCTAGAGGATTCTGAGGTCCTTGATCCAGATGATGACGTCCACAAGATGTCCCTGCAAATTGTTTTCCTGCCAGAGATACAAAAGAGATTGGATCTGTTTAGGAATGGATGGAATCACCACAAAATGAGAACAGAAAACAACAAAACACCTGTCCAAATCTGGACTGCAGGAATGCTTTCCAACATGGAGGCAAACTGCAGAGCCATCAGCAATGTTTTTGGTGAAGATCCGTACAGCACACACACTCTAGAAGAGCTTTTGGCACAACATGGCATAGACAACTTCCCTGTGACTGATGACGAAGAAGATCATTTTCCAGCTGTAGTTGTTGAACAACCCAGAATCAATCTGAGCCATCAGCAGCAGCAAAACATTTTGCAGACAATTGAGACCATCTCAGATGCTACCGATAAGTATCAGACGTGTTGCAGAGAAATTGCAAACATATTACAAGATGGCTGAGACACATAATTTTGATACAGTGTGTTTGTTCTTGCAACACGCCCTCAGCGTTAGTGTTAAGCCCAGACTTTTCATTAATGTCATACTTAGAACTTTTTGTAGGATATAAGCTGACAGGCAAACATGCATTAATTTGTAGTTTAAACATCACCTTCCACATTGCTTCAGAAAAATTTTGATGTATTCTGGCTTGCTAATCATCTCAAAGGAATTATGTAAGATTTTCCTAATAAAATATCCAAAACATGCACAGTGCGAAATATTTCATTCAGTTGTATACTCACGTTATTCCAAAAGTTCCCAAGGATTTGTTAATCTAGAGAAATTCCAATTGTAAAAAATTGTCTCGTCCCTGTTCGTCGATGGTCATGGTCGCCTATCAATGACGTAATATCCACGCTATCCTCGGTTTTCGCTTGTAGAAACTACAAGCGTGCACAAAAATCCCGCTGCACAGTTAGAGTAAATCCATTACGGCTGAAATTAAAAGTGTTGACAGCATTAAATTTATATCTGCTCAATGTTGCATCATGATACTTTTTCGCGTTTTTTGTGTTGCGCATTATAACCAATCACACATGAGTCTGTTGAGCTTATGAATGCAATGGCCAATCAGAAGCGTTCAGATGAGTCCTCGCTGAAACCGCTGAGTTTTGTTGTGTGTGCTCTCTCGCAAATTCTCTCATCATAAACAACAAAGTGCAGATGTATGATGTAAGAGATTCAAACAGAGTCATCATTTAAACACGAGATTCATCAAACTGTTTAGAGAGCTTTGCTGATTATAAGGGCAGTTTTTTTTAAAGTGCTTAAAATCGCGCTAGATTGAAATCAGTCATAATGTTCTTTGACAATGCAAATGTTCTTTGGTCGCTTTCTGTATAATTTATTCGCTGTTTGAATAACTGTGGAAGGTACAGGTAATAAAAAAATCATTCATTACCTCATCCGTGAACATGATTCGTGAATTCCATACATCTCTTTCCACCCCTTTAAAGTGTCAAGCTTGAAGCTTATTTTGAACATGCGACCTCTAGCGGCGAAAACTTACAAATTGTGCCTTTAAATGCCTTCAGGTAAATACTAGTCTTACTCATGCTCTTGACTAAATGTTTTCAGCTGGATTACTACACTCCAATATAAACAAAGAATTCAGACAAATGCAATCCAAAATTGATTCAGGTTTTATTGTTGAATTTATTAAGGGATAATTTTAGATGTCAGATGGATCACTGTTTTAGTTACTGTTTTGTACTTTTTCAATTTCAAGGAATTATAATTGATGTTGATAAATCGAGTAAATGAAACAAAATGTGTATCTACAACTGTAAACAAAAACTAACATTAAAGGTAAGAATAGTACAACAATAACAGTAAACACAGTAACTGTAAAACTTGTTTGAGATGGCATAAGAGTGAAGAAGTGTTAAGAGGATTATTTCATTAACTTGTGAAACTGTGCTGAAACATGAACTATTTCGTTCATCACCCTTACATGAACAAGGTACATGAATTATTACATGGTGCCGAAAGTTGGCGACTGCAAAATACCTTCGGCCATGTAGGTTCTAAAAGATTCGTAAGTACTGTGAATTGGAAGTCTAAGAACAATAAGGCATGTGTTGGCTTCTGGAAATACTCTGGTGTCTTGACCAGATGTATGAAGAAATTCGATTTTTGGCTGATGGGGGAATCCTAGTGGAGGCACAGATGAGGCTCCAGAAGCAAACTCCAGTACCATTGGCAGTGTCAACGAATTGCAGTCACCTTCTGTAATCACACAGATTAAAGATCGTTAGGGATGCCATTAGTAAAGACATTCAACAACAAACTAAAAAGAAAAATGTAGTCAAATAATAAACAATAACTAGATAGTTAACCAAGACTAATTTTAATCTTAGCTTAATAAAGCCTGGCCAGAAATCCTTAAGTTTTAATAGCTTGATGTTTTAAGGTTTTAAAGCCAGACGCACAAAGAAGCATAATAAGATTTAAAAGCAATATCAGATTCAATATATTCAATTTTTTTTTAATTGGAAATAAATGTAACTTTACAAGAAAACACTACCTTCTACATCAATTAACCAGTCTCTCCAGAAACAGACTGTCTTATTTTCCAGCTGCCTTTTGTTGCTACCAAGGGGTGAAAAGTCCACCTCAAAAAGAGTGGACAGATCTTTTGCCTCAAGTGGTCTGACTGCATTGATGAACAAGTCCTCAAAAATGTCAGGATGGTTCTTGAGCTCGTCAATCAGACCAAGAGTTTTGAAACCCTCTTCAAATCTGTCACAGCACATTTAGTCTTAATGAGATTTTAGTCACAACCAACTTTCAATTTACTAAATATTTTGTTTCTATGGCATTTAAATGGTTCTCATGATGGATACTTACTGTCTGAGAGCCAAATTTGTCCGCCCATTCACAAAGTATTCTGCTGCAGATTGGACCAGGGAATCCCTCTCTTCAAGAGATGAGATGTACCTAAGTGCTCCCATCATGTACAGACTGTCTCCAGCATCTGAGATAGCAGAATTTGCGTTTTCAACAGAGTCTGCTTCTTTAATCTACAAGTAAATAATTAGAAAATTGTTATGCCATGAAATCACAAAGCACCCATTGCAAATGACACAATACAAAATCCCTGTGTAGATGAGACAAGTCTAAAGTTACAATAACCTTTGAGAGTTTTTCTCTGAAGCTGCTGTCTGCTATTTCCTCAAGGGAAACAGGAAGTGTACACTGACCACAGAGTTGCATAAAAAGATGATCAGAAAAAAAATGAGGGCCAACTCCACCATGAACTATGCACACTGCAATCATTTTTGCAATGGTCATGTACAAGCCATTCTCAAGAGCTGAAAAACATACAAATAAATTATATATAATGTATATTTTTATATTTCATAAGAAAAAAAGAAAAGCAAATAAGATAATCCTTACCATGAGTATCAAGAGCCAGTAGTCTTTTGTCTTCCGGTCCTTCAAATATTTTGGACCTCTGGATTTCCCTCATTAGCAAGCGTAGGAATTCCCTGGTTGGTCCACCTTCATCTACAGCTCCTTCTCCAACCCCATCAGAGTCCACAAAAATCACATCCAGCCTTGCGTCTGGATTAAAGCGCCTTCGCTTGAAAGCTTGCAGGCTACCTTGTAATATGCTGTCTCGACATACATTTATTTGATTGCTTGTAGGACAACATGAGAGATCAACTCTGCTATGAAGCTTCTTCAAAATCATCTGCAGATCAACTCTAAAACACAAAAGAGTAAAACATTTTAACCTGAATGTGTCTGAAAAGGTTAATTGCTTAAAATTCCTTTTAAATATAACATAACATACTGATCCGAAATATTTTCACAATTGTCAGTTGTTACAGAGGATGGCTGAGTGGGAAGAGAGCGTTCAGGTGACCAGTGATATGTGTGAGAAGGTGAAGGAGCAGGTGACCAGTGTGCAGATGAAGGAGCAGGTGACCAGTTTGGGGGTGACGGGGAATGACAATCATTCAGTGGCAAAGAAGTAGTCGGTTCATGTGGTGATGATGCAAGCTGGTTGGAAAAGGGTGAGGTGAAATGGACTTCACCAGAATTCACTTGAATGCTTACTTCGTTCTGTTTACCTTGACTTTCCTGTAAATATAGACCAATACTTAAAAAAAAAAAAATAAATAAAAAAAACCATGTAAACCTAAAATAGTTTCAGAAACTATACATATAAGTGTTACTCACATGGGAATCTAGTGGTGAAATCCAAACAACATAAAGAGTTGAATGACCCTTGATGTTGTAATCATTCAGTGTTCCTGTAAGGTTATTTTCAAGAGGTGCAGATGATGTCGCATCTTGAACATAAAACACTTCACTGGACAGGTCATCCTGACCAACAAAGTCAAATAAGATCTGTAAATAAGCACATGAAATATAGATAGATTACATTTAGTAACATTATTATACAATTATCTTTCTTCATCAAGGCTATTTACTATATTATTTCCCAAACCAATTTTAAAACATGAGTGTTTTCTATCCTTATTGTCTATCTTTTTAACAAAAATCAGCAGTAGTTTACCTGAATTGTCTCTGAAAAGATGAATTTTCGAATTTTTTCAGTTCCATGAGGAAACTTGAATTTGATGGGCACACCATCAATGGGCTCCTCGTGACTTGCAATCCTCTTCTGTCTGTCTTCAATTGCCTATTATGCAACCAAGGTTACGTGAATGCAGTACATTTTTTACTTCAACAAAACAAAACATTAGTTATATTTTTTAAAATAACATCTACCTGTAGTCGACTCTTTTCCTGTGCCTCTAAATATTGGCGTCTCATCTCCTGTTTATGATAAAAAGATTTGAGGATTCTATTTAAATAGAAATGTGTATATAATAGAACTAGTTTGTTCAGGAAAAGCATTATAGAGCAGTTTAGTGTCCATACTCTCAAATAAAATGTTTCTTTTGTATTTCAACCATCTATGTTTCTTACACCATCTGGACCTTAATGCCAAGTCAGAAAATGTACAGTGCCTTGCGAAATAATTCATACCCTTTCATTTTTTCACATTTTGTTATGTTGCTGCCTTATGTTAAACTGCTTTAAATTACTTTTTATTCCCACATCAATCTACACTCCATACACCATAATGGCAAAGCAAAAACAGGTTTTTAACATGTTCTGCTCAAGAGCAGTCATAGATGTTAATCTCTGAGGGGAGTTAAACTGTGGCAAATTCTATTGAATGGGTATGATTTGGGTATGATTTGGTACTGAAAATGCATATCAGAGCAAAAACCAAGCTCCGAGGTCAAAAAACCACCTGTAGAGCTCAAAAACAGGACTGCATCAATCCACACATCTGGGGAAGAGTTTAGGATAAAATTATGCTGCATTGAAGGTTCACAGAAGCATGCAGCCTCTAAAAGTAAAGTGTGCTGGTAGCAGCCTCATGCTGTGGGCTGTTTTTCAGCGGGAGGGATTGAGGGACTCGTCAGAGTAGAAGAAAAGTTTAACACAGCAAAATATAGAGATAGCCCTAATGAAAACATCAGACTGGGCAGAAGGTTCATCTTCCAACAGGACAATGACCCTAAGCACACAGCAAGAGTGGCTTATGGACAGCTCTGTGAATGTCGTTGAGTCACATTGAGCCACAGCCTGGCCTTGAACCCAATCAAATATTTCTGGAGAAACCTGAAAATGTGCGTCTGCCCCCATCCAACCTGACAGAGCTTGAGAGGTGAAGAGATGAGGAGAAGAATGACAGATAATTGCCAAATGCTGATGTGCAAAGCTTGTCGCATCATACCCAAAAAGACTTGAGGCTGTAAAGGTGCTTCAAGCAAGTACTGAGTTACTTATGCAATGTACTTATTTCAGTTTTTTATTTTTAATGAAGTTGCAAAGTTGTGACAATTCTGGTTTTGCTTTGTCATTATGGTGTATGGAGTGTAGATCACTTAAAGCAGTTTAACATAAGGCTGCAACATAACAAAATGTGAAGAAAAAAAAAATGAGGGCACTGTACTAAAGGTTAAATGAGTTCATTCTTAACTAAAAATTGTGGTCAAAAACACAATTTCCCCAAGATTAGGAAAGAGGACCTCAACATTTAAAAATAGTAGCTAATGCAGTGTATATATTACTTAATGTTCTTAATCAAAGATTGTTTGTTGAATGTTGTAATACAGTTACTTACTTTTGCTCTGTCTGCCATTAAAGACTGTTCAAATTCTTTGTCTTGTTCTTGCCGTAAAGATCGCCACTGCTGCAAGACCTATTAACACATCAAAAAGTATCTGAATTAAATAAATATTACGATAAACAAATGATCAACACAGGCTCTGTACATACTAGTTCAAAATGTTATAGGTTTATTCCTGGTTACCACTGTGCTGTCTGCAGTGTCCTCTGTGTTGCCAATAAGCTCCTGGTTTGTAAAATCAGTAAGGTCAATGACTACAGATGGAGTTGCCTCAGAGTTGGTTCCTGGTTCAGGTTCATTTTGTGATGAGTACAAAGAAGGTGCTGATTCCTGTGCGGGTAATTGTTATCATTAACACCACAACACAATTTTGCATTTAAGTATTATCAAAGACAATTTTTACAAACCTGGTATAATTCTACTAATGGCAAAATGTACAGCCTACTCTGGCCAAGAGCTTGCTTTAATTCTCTGACAGAAGCAACCTGAACTTTCTTTAAGTTCTTTCCTCTGTCAGCCTTGGCTAACTCATATCCAATCAAATTCAGGCTGACATCTGGGAAACTTTGACAGATAAATTGTTTGAAATCTGCCAAACTCCAGTTCATTTGGATTTTGGCCACTTTTTGTTTACCTGTGTCATCCACAGGGCTACCTAAAAACAAACAAACAAAAAACAATAATTATAACTAATTTTATTATAAAACAGACAACTTGTCTAAACATTTGGCAAAAACAGGCCAACATTCCAACAAAGGTTTCCTGGTCTTCCGGTTGTACCTTTAAAATAGAAAATAAACAGTGTGAATAAAATCAGAGAATCTGAAAAGGAGTACCAAGAAATTGAAAAGCAGCAAATTGTTTTATTTTATTTAAATTAATTAATTTATATATTAGTTTGTTTATCGTTGCTTAACAGATGGAAAACAAGATTTCAGCATAATTGTGTTTGTTGTTTACAAATCTGTTTATGTGCATCACATACATGAAGTCTACATGAAATCAAAATTAACAAAAATGTGCACACATAACTAGTCTTAGTGTTAAATTTTTTCCAGCAATATAAAAACCAACATCAAAATTTAATGAGATTGAATGAATGCAGAAAAAGTTAAATGTATTGCATCCCCATGCATATGAATGGTAATATCTCGGGGGAAAAAGAGCTTTTTAGAACCGCAAAAGATACGTTACCTGAATGTCGATTTCGAGACCGACGAAACAGCCTCCTTGTAGCAGCAAGCAAGTTCTCGTTCGATGAACTCTGCATAAGTTCCATTCTTGCTCTATTTGCGACATTAAAAATTCTATCAAAGGCAGAAACAGCCGCATCTACCGTTACCTGTTCTAATGAAGAGGTTTATTCCTCCATCTTACACGAACAACTAATGTCGCAGGCGCCAAAAGTGAGCATAGACTGATGGGAAAATCCTTAGACTCAGCAACAATTACATTTTTACTAGTTAAAATGTTAATTCTTGATATCAGGAATTGGATTTCTACTAGTAACAATTACTATTTTTGATATCAAGAATGACATCATCACTCGCAGAAATACAAATTCCTGATATCAATAATTAAATTTCCACTAGTAAAAAGTATAATTCTTGATATCTGTAATTGTATTTTCACTAGTTAAATGTCACCATAGGCTGCCATTCAAAATCAATTGTTGATATCAAGAATTCAATTCTTACTAGTAAAAACCTTTATTTTTGATATCAGTAAGGAAATTATCGAAAAGTGGAAAATAACGTGTGGATATTGGTTAAGGTTAGGGCTAGTTTTAGGGGCGGCATCCATTTAATAATTTTTAAATAAAAATTATAATTGACACTCAATATGTTATTATTGTAGCTTATACTGTTTTATAATGTAGCCTACTACAATAATGAGGTGCAGAT